AAACACAATAAATTTGCATTGTTTTTTGTATTTATCTTCTTTCCATAATTTTTAGCCAATAGAAAATCAATTAGTGCAATTAAGTTTTTTGAAGTTTACAATTAGTTAATAAAACATGCATTGAAAATGTAAAAAATGGATCTTTTAGAAACAAAATTTTTTTCTAGAATATGTATCTTTAAGGAACGGAGGGAGTATTTAATTTATGGATAGATTACTCGTTAAGTTTGGACGTTTTATGAGTTACAATCTACATTTTCCTCTACTTTTTATTTTGCTTTCAAAATGCTTTAGCCATGTGCCAGGATATAATTTTTGGGTGACATTTGGGGATCTTAAGCAATCATTGAAAAAATAATTATTATTTGTACTGTCATGTTATTTTTTATCAGAAGGAGATAAAAATTGTCTTAAACAGATTATATATAGTGCATCGGTATAGTTTAGAGAACATTTCAGTCATCATTAACGAAAGCCTAATTAAAAATGACTTCCTTCCAAAACAAAACATGTAAGCTGCATAAGCAGTGTGTGATTAGTGTGGCTAGTGATTGTACAGTAAAACTTTTACAAATATTCTATGAAGAGTTCAGTTCACTTGATAGATTTGTATATTTCTTTTTTACAACTTTTGGATCTCTTTGTATAATCGATTAGGAAAGAAAGTGAAAAAGGAAAGTGGGAGAGGTGGACAAAGAAGTTAGGGAAGATGTTGACATCTTATCCATAAATATCTAATCAGACCGGTCCCCTCTTCTTGTCCCATCAATTCACAGGTCTGCACTTTTATCTTTTCACTTTTTTTCTCGATTTTAATGCGAATATATCCCTTCAACTTTTTGTTTATAAAAATTATTCAGTTGAGGAAATACCTCGACCTTCCAGATGGATGGAAGATACTCGTTTTATCATGTAAATGCTCAACCAAAGGAAACAATAGTCACACACAGATTTAGATTCTAGCAATTGCCACCTAATCACAATGATGCAGATTAACCGTGTAATCATTCATACCCTAAAGATATTTTCCACCAAAAGTCAAAAGAACCATCTCTTGATATATATAGTTTATTTGGAATGTAATAAACAATTTAAAACCCAAAAAGGAGCATCCTTTATTTCAAACAAGAAAAAGGTTTTGTTTGGTTGTTCCCCAAATGTGCTCTCAATGTAGTCATAAGTAAACAAACAAACAAACATTGAAGAAAGTTTTGAGTAAGCAAAAGAGTAAATATAGCTCTTTCTAATACAACTTGAATAAGAACATGAACCATTTAACACAAATATATTACCTTCTTCTCCTTCTGAAGTAGATTTGCATCCCCAAAACTCTATTAGTATGCTTCAGATTTTATTTCCATGAAGAATAATAGCAAACTCCCTGCAAAAGCATAAACACTATGAAGAAGGGCCAAACTCCACAATTTTTACCTAAACAATCAACTAATGCTAGGTGAAATCTAGATCTTTTTGCTTTTAAGTTTGCAACAAGAAATTTTAAAAGAGAGCAAGAAATGGAGACACAAACCTGTGGTTAGCAAGGATTCTTAAGCAGCAGCCTGTAGCAACTCCCTTTCAGCGCGGTCCCTGATCCTTCTCTCAAGCTCCGGCCTAAAGTGCCTTATCAGACCTTGCACGGGCCATGCAGCTGCATCACCCAGTGCACAGATTGTGTGTCCTTCGATCTGTTTGGTTACCTCGTGAAGCATATCAATCTCTTCAAGCTTTGCATTGCCAACTTTCATCCTCTCCATGATCATCCAAAGCCAACCTGTTCCCTCTCTGCAAGGAGTACACTGCCCGCAGCTTTCATGCTTGTAGAAGTACGAGAGCCTCGCAATTGCATCCACAACGTCCGTTGATTTATCCATCACAATGACCGCTGCAGTTCCTAGCCCTGATTGAACAGCTTTGAGCGCATCGAAATCCATAAGCACATCCTCGCATATGTTCTTAGGAATCAAAGGGACAGATGAACCTCCAGGAATGATAGCAAGTAGGTTGTCCCATCCACCTCTAACGCCTCCACAATGCCTCTCAATCAATTCCTTGAGAGGTATACTCATCTCCTCTTCAACAGTACATGGCTTGTTCACATGCCCTGAAATACAAAACAACTTTGTCCCAGAGTTATTCTTCCTACCGAAACTCGAAAACCACTCAGGTCCACGCCTTAGAATAGTAGGAGAAACAGCAACGGTTTCCACATTAGTAACAGTTGTGGGACAACCATACAAACCAGCATTAGCAGGAAACGGAGGCTTCAACCTAGGCTTCCCTTGCTTCCCTTCAAGACTTTCAAGAAGCGCAGTCTCTTCACCACAAATATACGCACCAGCACCAAAGTGGATATAAACATCGAAGTCATAACCAGAACCACACGCATTCTTCCCCAACAGACCAGCTGCATACGCTTCCCTTCTAGCCTTCTCAAGATTCAAACGCTCATTCACATACTCACCCCTGATGTAAATATACGCCGCACTAGCTCTCATCCCAACACCAGCAATCAAACACCCTTCCAACAACTTATGAGGGTCATGACGCATGATCTCCCTATCTTTACAAGTCCCAGGCTCACTCTCATCAGCATTAACAACCAAATAAGAAGGACGTCCATCAGAGACTTTAGGCATAAAGGACCATTTCAGACCAGAAGGGAAACCAGCACCGCCACGTCCACGAAGACCAGATTTTTTCATCTCATTAACAATCCAATCAGTACCTTTAAGCACCAAATCTTTAGTCCTATGCCAATCACCTCTCTTCATGGCCCCTTTGAGAAAAGGGTCGTGTAGACCGTAGAGGTTGGTGAAAATCCGATCTTCATCCTTGAGACCACCGAAATGAGTCTTTTCCGGAGGCGGAGGTGGTGGTGGTGGCTGTGGAGTGGTGGAAGTGGACGCAGCTTGGGTGTTAAATGATCTCAAAGCTGGAGATAATCTGTTACTCTCCTTCCATGCTGATACTGCCCTCTGCAAGCCAAGAATCCCTCTCACGGGTGCCTATAAAGAAGTTATGATTCACATTAAAACGCATGATCTGTCCCTAAAGCATCGATAATCTCGAAGAACAATGAGCAGATCAAATTAAATTACTAAAAACAATCACAACCCATTAGATCTGGATGAAGTTAATGTCACATTTTGCAATTATTCAGCATAAATTGCAACAAAAAAACGAATAAAAATCAATCCTTTAATTCCAGAAACCCTAACATTTGCGATCGAGAAATGATTACATACCATGGGAGACAGCGGAGACTTTAGAGTCTTTGTTACTCTAAGGGAGAAGGCTACACGAATGGGAAGTAGAGGAGGAAGGCGATAACTTGTGCAACCTGAGACCGACGAACTGAGTTTTATGTGTGCACACCTGAGACCGACGAGAACTGCTTGCTTGGTTCAGATTGGTCCGCGTCTTCTTTGACGTTAACCTTTCTCTGTTTCTAGGCCTTTATTGGGCCTGGCCCATGTAATCTAGTCAGGCTTATGAGTATGTTTTATGAAATACTAGTACTGGGGATATTTTTGTTTACGAAATAAAATATATTTTCAATTTTAGTTACTCAAAATGACATGTACATATACTGTAGCATTATAATTAATTAACTATAAACATAAAAAGTTAAATTAAATATGCTTAAAAATTATATTGATCTTAATTAGCTTTTTGAATATAAATGTTACTTTTAAGCTTTCTTGTTTTACTTCTTATGTCTTTTTCAATATTTTCCCAATTCTTAACATGTAATCTATGATTCTTTAGTTTATTACACCTAGTAATTTATCTAGTATCTCTAAACAGTAAAATATGTAACTGAGAAACAACATATCACGAAAGCAAATCCAGAGAAAAAGTAATTAAGTAATCAAAGTTATAAAAGTTATTAAACTTTTTAAATTGAGATTATGTTACTTTACTACTTATATGTATGAAAGTATACCTTTTTAAATTTATATGCATGACATAAATGATAATCTCACATTATAGTTGGAAAACAATGGAAAATCCATCAAATACTTGTATTGCCATGTTAATTTGAAAATATGATAGTAAACAAATTTTATTATTATAGCAAACATGTGAAAAATGAGTATTGCAAACACTGAAATAATACAAACATTTTAGCTGCTACTATGTACCTCTGTTAATTTCAGTTCGTGTTCAGATCATTGTTAATTTCAGTTTGTAATAGTTTGGTTCATGTTCCAGCTCGTTGTGGTTGTGGTTTCGGTTCGTGTTAAGATATCCACTTAAATGATGTAAACAAATTCAAAAAATGCCAATCTACCTTAAAAAAAAAAACTAAAAAATTATTCAGCTAAACCATGATAAGTTTGAATAATGTATGCTAAATGTCTAAAATTAACATGAAGATTGGTTTGATCGAGAATTCGTAGATATTTATGATAGTTTTAGTGATTTTAATATTTTTGGATATTTTCAGATATTTAATTTTAAAATTTTAAAATATTTTGGATGATTCTGAGTATTTTTGGATATTTTAGATTTTTAATATATTAAATCAATATGATAATATATAAAAAAGTATATAATCATGATTCTAGTACTTTAGGGTACCTAAAATATCATATATGAGGTCGGGTTCATATCCGGGCTTTATATACCAAAATTTGGAATTATTCAAAAAATTTATTAATCTCAGCTCGAATTTAGTACAATTTTTTAAGTAAGATCCGGTTTAGTTTAAACTTAAATTTTTGTTTCACATCTGTTTTGAATTTTTTTTTCTCTCTTTCTTGGAATAACATTCCCTAATCTTTTTTTTCTTTTCAAATTTATACTAGGTAATTAATTTACTTTTTTTAACCTCAGATCGTCACCCGCAACAAATGCTCAAAAAAGAAAGGGAAAAGCAGAGGAGAAGGTCCTCGATATGAGTATCCGCTCAATCGCAGTAAGCTATTTAGTTAGTTCAAATTTTTTTATCGATGCGTGCGTAAGATAGAGTAACAGATTGTCGGATCTCATCTGTATTCAAATTATTTATCGATGGAGTAGCCGATCATCGGATCTCATATCTATTCAGTTTTTTTTTTAAATCATCAGATTGATTTTATTACTTTTGTGACGTGAACTTTGATCTAAGTTATATATATCTAGCGATTGGATGGATTGATTTTGCCTTAGCTTTTAATAATCATTCTTGCCCTTCCTTGAGTTGTTTTGATCCTTGTTGTACTGACTTGAATGATTTAAGCTTTGCCGTTGAGCCTGATGAGGTGGATAACTTTGTTGTGAATGAAGAATCAGCCAAACTAATGTTTTCAAGAATGTGTTTGGAGATGATGGTGGGGATGGGGATGATGGTGGAGACTTTCGGTTAATATCTTAGTTAGCTAAAAAAAACTCACAAGTATTTGTGAATATATATATCTATCTAGCTGTGAGTATCTAGGGATATAAACTTGTGGGTGCGTCGAAATTTGTGAAGTGGAGATTGTTGTTGTTCCTAGCTAGCTATGGGTTTGTCTTTTCATCTTTCTGTACAACAAGAGGAGAGGAGGAGGTCGAAAAGAAGAATGCTGACACGAAAAGCTATCCAGGATTCAGAAACTTGTGTCGCACGAGAGATAACTCACGATCTCCTGATCGAGATTCTGGCGAGATTGCCTGCGAAATCGGTGTTGAGACTCAAGTGCCTCTCAAAGTTTTGGTCATCCTTGTTCTGCTCCAGATACTTCTGCGACCGTTTCTTTATTGTCCCATCCCGACCTCAACCTCGTCTGTTCATGTCTTTATATTATCTGGCTTGGACTGATATGCACACATGTGTGCTTGTGAGTTTTGACATGAGGTCTGAAGAGTTTGATATGATAAAAGTACCTCGCAAGCCTGGAGATATAGGACCTAGTCTTAAGAAGAGGGTAACTCTTATAGAGTATGGTGGCGGCAAAATTGCGGTATTTGACTTCACCTATCTCAAAAAGACTGGTACTGTGGATCTGTGGGTTGTGGAAGATTGGAGGAACAAGGAATGGTCAAGTAAGACTCTGGTTTTGCAGCCTTCTCAGATGTATTTAGTCACTGATAATAGATTAACGCCAAAGGGTACAACTCTTAAAGACAAGGTTTTCTTGATACCGGAAAAATTGGTTTCTCCCTTTTACTTTCTGTGCTATGATCTGCGAACCAATGATCTGAGAAAATATGAGATCAAAGGCATACCCGATCACTGGTTTAGTAAGCCTGAAGCGACCAAAGATTTCGACATGGAATTTATGGATTCAAATGGGAGCATCAAATATTTGGAAACTTGAAAAATATTAAGCTTAACAAGTAGTGTTGTTTCTACTTTTTACAAATTTTTGTTTTTAACTTACTTATAATTTGCTTTTTATACATCTCAAATGATTATTTTATGGTTTATGGTTGTAACTGGACCTTAGCAGGAACCTAATTTAACACACTAGTGAAGAATATAAGAAGTTTTTTTGTAATAGAAAGCCTTTGATGTCATGTTTTATTGGTTCCCATTGGCTTAAGAAACAGAATAACCCAATTGTTAGACTTTTGATTTGTTGCCAAGGATTAAGACATGTTTATTTTGCAACTCTGGCTAGATTGTGTAACTATCTTGGTGGGCTTTGACTTGAAAGTCTACAAGTATAAATAGCTTCTTCTTTTTTTTTGTTGACAAGTAAATTTTGTTTTATAAAAATAAATTGTAATAAGAGGTTATCTTTGAAAAACTGTATATGCTAGTGTCAGAGCTCACATTTAAGACATAGTTCTATAGATTAAATCTATTAATTGAGTTTATTTTTTTGCAAAAAAAAAAAAAGCATAATTTACTTTGGACACTTATAAAATAAAATGGTTATAAAATGGAAAAAGAGAGAAAATGAAATGGAATTATGCAGACAAAAGCAAGCAAATACATTCCTTGTAAGATTCTAACTAGTATGTTCACATCATGTGCCTTGCATTGCCTTTACTCATGCATCTAGCATGACTATTCCATTTTTTCAATAGTGAGAAAAATATTAGAAACATCTTTCTCAGTTTACATGAAAATAACTGAAAATCTAGCTTTTGTGGTAAAACAATATGGGCCCAAGCCCAGTAACAATAGTGTTATATATAATCCTTGTTCACCATTCGGCATAGAACTCGATAAGCGGTTTCTGTTACAAGCTCCCGCCACATCCGAAGCTCAAAAAAGCTTCATCAATGGCGTCTCTTCTCCTTCCTTCTTCTAAACTTCTCCTCCATAGTCGAACTCAACACAATGTCCAACCATTTCACATCCCTCTCTCCTCCCCTAAAACACCATTTTCTATCTCCTCAGCTTCTCTCCGTCAACACTCTACTTTCGTCTCAGCTTCCAAAACACAATCGGAAGCTTTCACGGCGGCGAAGACGAAGACGGAGAACAAGAAACAGCCGGTGAAGAAGGTTTTGAGCGAGGAGGAAGAAGTAGAAGAGGAAGTGGAGGAGGATATGTTGTGGATTCAAGAGAAGGCGTTAGACCTAGTCGGGTTCACTGGTACGGTGGCTCAAGCGATTCCAGGTCCCCGAGTTGGAGATACCAAGTTGCCGTGGATGCTCGCCGTTCCCTTAACTTACGCCGTCACCACTCTCGTCACCGCTGTCGTTAAAACCGTTAATAATGTGTCTTCTCCTGACGCGCAACGCAAGAAACTGGTAACGTCTCACTCTGTTTTTGCTCTCTGTTTTACGCTCTGTTTATCTCTTGTGAACTGATTCCAAGTTTGGGTTTTTAATCTGTCACTCTGCTCTTGCTCTCTGTTTTACTCTGTTTCACTCTCTGTATATCTCTTGTGAACTGATTCCAAGTTTGGGTTTTTAATCTCTCACTCTGTTCTTGCTCTCTGTTTTATTCTGTTTCACTCTCTGTATATCTCTTGTGAACTGATTCAAAATTTGGATTTTTAATCTCTCACTCTGTTCTTGCTCTCTGTTTTACTCTGTTTCACTCTCTGTATATCTCTTGTGAACTGATTCCTAGTTTGGATTTCTAATCTCTCACTCTGTTCTTGCTCTCTGTTTTACTCTGTTTTACTCTGTTTAACTCTCTGTATCTCTTGTGATCTTTTACCAAGAACTGATTCAAAGTATGGATTTTGAATCTCTACAGGTGAATCAGAATGCGATGCTGTGTGAATCTATTGATGCGCTGTTAGAGAGAGAAGGCACTATGAGTAGATTTGAGCTTAAGGCAATTGAAGAAAAGGTGTTAACTTTATACTCTGTTTCATCTTTGTAATCACTCAAGATACAGACTTTAACATGAGAATGCTGTTTGATTTTTGTCTGAATCCAGACAGAGTTCAACATGGTGGAGATACTACGGAAGTACATTTATTACGCCTTGAATGATAAACCGTTTAATCCTGACCTTATTGAGAATCTTATTCATCTCAGAAGAGCTTCTGGTTTGATTGAGGCTCAGATTCCTGAGGTTTTAAATGAGATCTCTCGTCGTATTGTTAAGGAGAAAGGTAAATCTAAAAGTAAACCTATAAAGAATAAAAGCTTCTTCGTTGTTACAATCTTTTCTATATTTGCAGGCCCTGTTGTTATGAATAAGCAGGGGTTTACAGAGAAAGGGTTCAAGAGAAAACTAGCCGTGCAGACGCTTTTTGGAAAGATATTCTATCTTTCCGAGGTAATGAAATGTGGAAACGTTACTTCTTACTTTATAGGATATGCTTATGTGTTCTGACTATGTTGACTTGTTAACAGGTTCCTGACTTCTGCTTAAAAGACGACTCCTTGGTTGTCAAGGAAATATTTGGAGTTACAGAGTAAGTTAACTCTCAGATTGAACCTTGTTTGAAAAAGAATCTCATGTTTTTTGCAATGTTCCTTTCAGTGAAGATGCAGAGAAGCTGAGGATACAAGCACTTGCTGAAGCTGGAGACTTGGACTCACTTGAGAAGATGGTGGAGTTTGAGAAAGTGGCTGATTCTTCTTCTTCTTCGGATACAGAAGATTCAAATGAAGATGATGACTCCATTACCTCTCCTTAAGATACTTGATCAAGAACCAACTTCAATACTAATAAGTTTTTCCAGAATTTTTTTTCTAATTCTGATTTTTACTTTAATCACAAATGTTTTTATCCAATCATCTAAACTGTCTTTTGGTATGAAGACAGCTGCTGTATTAGAAACTTATATGTAGAAGAACAATACAAGTTGTGGCTTATATGAAAATGAAAAGTTGTCTATGCTAACTTGCATAAATGTGATCATGTGAAGAAAGACTAAAATAAATTAATTTACTTGAATACTAAAACTTGATTCCCCTTAAGTACTCCATCTATTGGCAACCAAAGTTGAAAGCAGATGATGACTGGAGTTCATGACCAGTTCACAATGCAATCTTGCTACAATAGCTCAAGGATCATAAAAACAAACCTCCATCAAGAAAACCAAAGTCAAGTCTCCAATATTGGAAAATAGCCAAGACAATATTTACTTTTAAACAAAGTTAGAAAATATAAATTACCTTTGAACCAAAAAGGAAGTTAAGAAAATACATTGAACAAAAAAAAAGAAAATACATTTAAAAAGTCAGTAAACACATTTGGAACAAAAAAAGAAGAAAATCTATACATTTGAACCCCCAAAAAAACAGTATATACGTTTCCATCTACTATATACTAGTACAGTATATATATACTATACTTGGTCCATAAGAACAAAAAAAAACATCAAATCTTAAAAACACAATCCATAATGGCTTCCTCTACAAATCACAAACTCGTTTGGACACCAATTATGTTTCTGTTTATCCTCACAAAAGCGTTGTTTGGTCTTTCAGCTCTAATGAACGAAACGGTGATGCCTCAAGACGTATTCACATCCAAACAAGTCGTGATCGTTAATAAATTAGGTATACGCGAAACACTAAACGTGCACTGTAAGAGCGGGGAGAAAGATCTAGGGCCTGTTACGCTCGTACCTGGAGCTAGGTTTGAGTTTAAGTTTCTCTCAAGTAACTTGCAACTCACAACCTACACTTGAAGTTTCCAGTGGCTTGACGCAGGTAAGTTGTTGTTGTTCGACATTTTCACGACGAGTAGAGACGCCAAGGCTTGTGATTTATGCATTTGGTACGTTTTCAACGGTTTGATATGTCCGGTGCAACCTGATAAGGAACAGCCTACCTTCTGTCATCGTTGGAATTCTAATAGATCTTAACTAAATTAATGTATTAATGTTTGCTATCGAATAATAAAAATTATGAAATAAAATAAAATAAATTATGAATTCTATTTAGCTATTATATTAAAACTGACGTATAAAACAGTATTTATCCTATTTTAAGTGATTTTTGCAGATTGTCAGTCTATTTAATGAACTCACTATATATTTTTTTTTTTTTGTAAATGAACTTTTGAGTTCAATTTCTCACATTCATTCTTAAAATTCTCACACATTAAAACAATAAATTAAGTTTTGATTATTAATGCATATTTTTTTTTGTAATTAACCATTTCCATAACTTTTAAGTTTTAACCAATATAGTTTTGATATACACTATTATCTTTCTTTATGTTTACAATTTACTATTGAATAATGCATTGAAAATGTAAAAGTATTTATTTTTGAATAAATTTATTTTTAAAGCAAAAAATAAGGAATCCCTCATCCATGCAATCTGATTTAACCTAACCAATAAATTATTACCATAATTAAAATATATACACAGTTAAGCACCAATAATATAATTTATAAGCTTTTCTTACACTCCTTTTCAAAGTAAAATTAGTGATAGAGATATATAAAATTAGTTGTTGACATTAATAATATTTTTTATAAACATAAGGATTATGTTGTAAACACAGTGCTAACATGTTTTTTCTCTTGTTTTTCCTTATTTTTCTCTTATTTTTCCTTATTTTTCTCTTATTTTTTTCTTATTTTTGTCTTATAAAATATAATGAAGAAAAAGATTAAAACTTTTTTACTATACAATAAAAATTGTCAAAAATATTAGTAAAATTATAAGGTAATACTGCTTCTTCCAGACGATTGCAAGCCTTCATAAAGGCCTGTCTTGCTTGTAGTAATAACTTCCAAGTGTCGTATGAGCTTTGTAGTTGCGTTGCTTTGATCAAAAACAATAAAGTCCAATTCCCTTTGTGTGAAGTTTTCTTTGCCCAAAGGAAAGACAGAAATGTCACCTTTAGGCTTTGAAGACTCACATTGGTTGTAGTGTTCCTTATGGATACACTCTCAACATGAAAATCTTTCAGATACTTTGTTAAACCTTGGATAAGTAAATTCCTAGTTGAGTTGCTTACATCTTTCAAGGAAGCATGAGGGAAGTACATGCTTCCTTTGATGGGGTTCTTGCAAACACAACTTTTACTTGCCTCCATTCCATGATCACACTTGATGGAAGAGTCTTTGAAACTCTGCCATAGCTACATATGTTTACAACAATAAACTACTTCATATCTTAAACTTTAACATGATATTAAATGTACTAAACTTACCATTTATTGGATAGAGAAACAATATGAGAAACATCATCATCATCATCTTACAAGTTACAAGAGGAATGTTCTTCTCTTTCTTTCTTAAAGTTATTAATGGTTATAAGAATGATCACTTTGTGTTAAAACAAAACTAGTTTTTCAAACATATAACAAGTTACAAAAGTTGGTAACATAGTAATGTTTGAGAGTTTTTGTGTGATTTATTAACTACCCTTCATGTAATGTTCACCACTCCAACACTCAACTTCTACTTGGATGGTTTTGTTTTGTTTTAGTCCTTGGAAGAAAAGAAAGTGATGTTGTACTTGAAACTTTTGGTTGGATGTAAAAGTGATTCTTGGTTTGTCCCATTCGAAAGGTAAAAATCTCTTGCATCACAAGTAATGTAAATAACTATCGTAAGAATTCCACGCTCCTTCGTTTCTCTTTTGGTCCAATATTGTGCCCAAGAAGAATTTGCTGTTCCATTTGTGTTTCACTTGAAATCACCCTTCCCCAAAGAGAAACTGTGTCATTAATAATGCATCTTTGTCATGTTGAATTGTACCTAACTAATCACCCAATCTAACTTCAGAGACTGCTCCTGCATATATATTGGCCACGGTTGGAACAGAAACTCCCCATACGTATGTAGATAATTGTCACAGTCATAACAACAGTCCAACAACAACATACATGCGGCAGTTAAAATTTCTAGAGCAAAAAGTGCGATTGCTAAGCTCTATGATAAAGACGGCAAGGCTCAAAGGTCAGAGGCTTCTAAAGGTCAGGTTGCCATCCAATTTTTTAAGGAACTCCTTAAATATTCAAATTCTGAAGATTATAGATCATTGTTAAGAGGCCTCTCGCCTAAAGTCACGAATAGAATGAATCATTTTCTTGCTCAAAAAGTAACTCAAGATGAAGTCAAGGAAGCAGTCTTTTCTATCAAGTCTGATAGTGCTCCTGGAGCAGATGGGATGACTGTTTTTTTTTTCTTTCAATCCTACTGGGATATCGTTGTTGAACAGCTCACAAATGAAGTCCTTTCCTTTTTTTTTTTGATACTGGTATCATGCCCTCGAATGGAATTACACCCAGATTTGTTTGATCTCCATTTTAATGCTATCATATATTGCAGTGGGTTTTCCTCTTGGCTTAGCCATCTTTTTGTCTAGGAATCCTTTGATTGCTGTAGCCTGTTGGATCCTTGTTTAGCACTTGTAATATTTATCTTTAATGAAGTAATCTTATACTATAAAGAAAAGTTTTCTCTCCTTTCAGCTTGCCACGTCAGAAAATACTCTCTTCTGAGCGTCACACGTGTTCATTAAACTCAAACGCTGCGCTTCATTTAACTCATTCGGCAATATATGTGGGTTTGTTGTGTAATTGGGCTTCGTATTGTCCTCTGCGTTTTAAGCCCATCTGAGTTAAACCCTAATAACCATTTACAATTAGTTTCCACCATCTTTCTTCTCTTCGAAAGGGCACGTACACGCCTCCTAAGAATTACTCAAGAGTGTTCGCTTTACGGTCATCAAAGCTCACTCTGAATTAAGTTACTCCATAGATACCAGTGACTTCTCGACTGATTTCCAACTCCCCGCCAAAATAATTCCGGGAACGTTACGAAAATCATTCCATCGAAACTCATATCTTCACTCTTTTGATCATGATCATTCAACACTTTTACAGCTAAGAATGGCGAACTCTGCTCTCTTAGGCTCTTCCACCGATTTGAAGGATGGCCGTTGCACAACCACAGTGAAGCTCCACCTGCTTAGGTTTTAGGAGGCAAGAAACATGAAGCATGCGGCTAGCTTCTGGGTGTAAACATGCTCATCCTGGACACAAAGATAATTCCGGCGACCAACTCATGATCTTCGATCTATTTCTAGAAAAGTTGTAGATTCCAAATACGAATGATTATGAAGGTTTGTATAGTCTTATTAAAATCTGGAACTACTTTGGCTCATCGGTCTCTTCAGCCAAGTGTTATGCAAATGACCACAATATATATATGTATGTAGTTTCAGAGTGAACAAAAAAAAAATATATGTAGTTTCAAAACGAGAGAAGAGAACCAACCTCTTTCTCCTCCACCCAAGAGGCATGAGTTGCACATGTGTTCAAGTGCCTTATTTTTTTCTTCGATTTTTTCTCTTACTTTGGAACCCCAAGGTTTAATGTCTGCTTCTATGGCTGCTCAAAAACAATGATCGAATCAGATATATGAGAAAAAATAGTTGTGATTATATCCTTAACTAAAAGAACTAACCTTCTGCAATTTCACTAACAATTGCCATTTCAATGCATCTGAAAGAAAGACAGCATGGAAAGCTCAGATGAATGATTCTTTTCTCAGAAACTATAACTTTGAAAATAGAACCAAGAAACCTTAGTTGTTTCTGTTTACAAAGGAGATATCTGAAGAGATTAGTGCCATAAGACCCATCCGATACATGTGATCAGCTATTGATTCTTGATTTTTAACATCTCTTTTAGCCTATCCAGCTGTCTATTTCAACACAAATATATGGATTACCATAAGATGAAACATGAAACAAGTAAAACTTAGCATCTATACAAACTCGAGTAATCAGAGAACAACAAATAAACTACATAGCTCGCAATCGATTCATTTCCGAAACAAACTATAGCTTCCAGTACAATCCACCAACAATAACATCAAAAGAAGGCAGCCAAGCATGAAGCAGTTCACGCTATCTCCACAAAGATCCATCATACTTAAAAAAACAAACATCAACATGATATATATATATATATATATATGAGCAACGCATGATCTTATCAATAACATAAGAACAAACAAGAACTTCAATAGTATGCAGCCAAGAGCTATCTCCCATCATACATTAGAAATCCAATATCCAGAAAATATGAACATGATCTTATCAACAAACAATGAACAAGAACATCAGCAGTCATCAACGTATGCATCGATGCCTGAAACAAACTCAAGTAACCTCCACGAAAATTTTAAACTAAGCAATCATGCGTTTTACATTAGATCCAAATAGCCACATCCCACATAGAACAATGCTTGATTCTATAAATAACGATGATTTTGTTGAGATCGCAGAGAACACTGAGTCACAGTGGAAAACAATAAGCGTATCATTCCAAATTTCCAATAAAGTAGCATTACCTTGAGGTGAGAACAGAGGGAGAGGAAATCGATTGCGGAAGAAGTCGGAGAAGGAGTGCCTGAGACGACCATCTCCGCCGGCGAACTGAGAGAGTGGAGAATCGCTGGCCATGCAGTGAATTGAATCAATTGATTATTCAGAGATGAAGCTGCGGCGGCTAAGTAGCAGAAGCGTGGGTGGGATCATATAAATCATCATTTTTAACAAAAATGTATGAAATAAACGAAACTGAATTCAAGAAATAAACATACAAAAAGTATGGTCTATGTTTTTTTTTTTTTAACTTGAAAGTATGGTCTATGTTTTCTGTGTTAAATCTAAACGATCAAAGTATTAAAAATTACATTCTACTTCCTTGCAAAATCAAACTAGAACTAACTTAAAAAATAAAAAACAGTTACATTTTTCAGAATTATTTTAATAATGTGATAATTATGTAACTTATAAAAAATAAAATCAAATAAAAATGTAAATAAAAACAGTTGAAAATGATGCTACATGCATATGTAACTGAGAATAAATTAAAAATTTACAAAAAATTAAAAAACAGGTTTCATGGTAAATAAATATATGTTTTCTAAGTATTGTGAACACAAAATGTAAGGTTATTATATTCAAATCAGTGCGAAAAATTAAAAATATTATATACCAAAAAAGTCCAACCATAATTTCAACGCTAACACGAAAATACAAAAAATTATATTTTTACATAGTCAAATGGAAAACACATTGTAAAATATTTTCAAGGTTGAGCCTCTCAGCATTTCATAGCTGCTCAGCTGAATGAGTTTTGTCATCACAGCTAGCTGCAGGTTGTACAGCTAACATTATTTTTCTTAGACTATGGAAGTTTAAACTCTATCTGATTCTAATAATTTTTAATTATAGGAAATTGAATTATAATGTTCGTGGTAATGATCGTCAGCAATCAACTTCTGCAGGAATATCTTCAAGTGGTCTCGCAACCAAGAAGCCTCGCGTATCAGCAACTTCGAAGGTGATCAAGAAGACTCAAAAGGCATAATTGAAAATGATGAAATGTCTGTAGGCAGTTTCTAATATTTGAATAATGCTTTGGCATCAATGTTGGTTTTGTTTTAAAAAACAATGAACTGGATTGCATCATCTTGAAAGCCCGTTAATATCTATTTTTATCACCTCATAATCTCAACTAATTCATAGATCTTGGATTAGAAATTCTTGACAACCTCAGTATTTTCACAAACAATATTGAGATGGGGCTATCTCATCTATGTATATCAGCCGAAGGTTTATCTTAGGGATGGTATAGAACAATGAAGTTTTTCTTTTTATAACAATGAAGTTTATCTATACAATATCATATTGTAATGCATAGGAGAGTGCGAAGGTGGTCAAACACTATTGGAGACTCTTGGATGAAAACAAAACAAAAACAATTCAAAAATTTCCTGAAAACGCATTAAAAAATCACTTCATGAATTTCGAATCACCATGATTAAAGGTTACTTGACAAACTATAGAACCACATGAGCAACGTGACATATGCTATAATTACAAACAAATGAGAAAATTTGTTTTCATAGTCTAAGCACAATATGTTTCTCATGGTCTCTGAGATGTGTTTCTATTTTCGTAATAAATAAAACAAACTATTTTACCTTCAGCTTACAATGAACGCAACACACGCTCCTCATACTCTCGGATATCTATTTCCATATCCAATAGTTTGTAACTTCGTTTCTAAGCTTAGATCGATAACACAAAACACATCACATGCACACTCCTACACTAAATAAAAACAAATAAATAGGCACTCAATCTAGACAACGGATCTTATAATCAATCATACGGAGAAAATGTTACACACAAACATTACAAAGAAATTATCAATACATATATTGAAATTTTATAATAAGTAGACAATCATATAATTTCTAAAATGAATATTAAAATAAATAAGTAAAATTGCTGTGAAAAATTATAAAAATGCTACTTTCAGTTAAAATAAATTAAATATTTAAAAATATAATTAATTATTAGTTTATTTAATCGCCCGCCCGTAGGGCGGGTTTACCCTAGTAGTGTATAAAAAAAAAAGAGTCTTACATATAAAAGATGCTCATAGTTAGTTACATTCATTCATTAATGTTAATGGATCTTGGTGGCTTGTTTCTCTAGTGCAGAGATTCAAGATTGGTGGACTTGTAATCAGTGTTTCCTATCAATAATACTTCGTAGCTCTTTATCACTTTAGTCACATTGTCATACATCTTGAAATGCAAAAATCCTCTGAAAAGGTGTATATCTAACCCTTTATAGAAGCTTTCATCACACTGCCTCCTTGAGATTGAATGTTCTGACAATTTCCCTGGCGAGATCGTGTTCCTGGAGCTCCACTAGCATTCTCTTTAACCTTCGGGCAAGACCAATGGTTTCCGCATCATCCAGTCCTGAGTCATGCCGTGTCTCGAGATTTATTCCAAGTGTCAGAATACAATCCACAAGTGGTTGCAACGGCCGGCTACAAAATCGAGATAACGTTTTAGTAATGTATCAAGGCGAAACTGCACCGCATAATTGGTAAATTCCCTAGTATGAGATGCTACTATTATGTAAACAATGACGATGATTTTTCTTAGCTGAATGAGATTCCGAGAAACGACTAAACACTGTGCAAGATCAATTATGTAATGTACACATCCTACTCCTCATTCGACATTCTTTACTCTTGCATTAACACTCATGAAAGTCAACTGCTTAACTTTTCATGCAGACAGATTGTAACCAAAACGGGAAATGATATACAACAACACAAGGTGGGACTATGATAAATTGACCTATGACAATGCGTGAGAGTAAACTTTTGTTGAAAGAGATCATTGTTACCTGTGAGTTCTTGTTACGCCTTGTCCTGTCCATACTCCAGACAAAGAAGCAACGATCTTTTCAGTTCTTGTGACGGCATCATGGATATTTGATAAAATACTTCTGACATGAGGCAGGACTTTTCCAAACAAAAGCTCATTCAGAGCTAAGTTCTCCAGCACTGGAAGCGCCATGATGTCTTTCCACATGCATATATTTCTCATAAGACGCACTGATGTCCCAAACCTATACGCTGCAACTTGTGAAGCATTAGGTACAGCCTTCAATACCAGAGGACCCCATGTCGGAACCTGGAGAACAAAGAATGGATCATACTTTATAACAGACTCAACGAGATTTTATTAGGAAAGTAGCAAAAGATGCAACAAATTCGAATTCATACCGTAATAGCTGCTACGGCTTCAACAAGACGAGATTGAATAGCAGCAAACAGTTCTGCCAGGGCCTCGCTTGAAGCAGAAACATAATTTGTCACCAAGCTTGTTGCAGCAACAGCATTTTTAGTCTCCCGGGTGCTAAGTATATCCCAACAACGAACTATCTGATGGTGCAATATAGGAATCGCAACCTTCTCTACTAGCTCAGGGACAAGGTTGGCGTCAGTATCATCAGGTGAAAAATCATCCTCATCTTCTGGCTTCCCGTAGTTAAATAATAAGCCATGCCTGCAGACAGAGGGCACGAGTGAGCCTACTTCCACAAATGCTAGATAAACAATGATAAGAGACTAATGCCTACTAGTTAGGATTTTGGGTATGAAACTTTGGACAATATAAAAAGATGGAAATCTTGAATAGCTTACCATTCCATGTCAAAGAAATCCACTTCTTGATGAAGAGGATCCCATTTCAAAAGCTCCAATCGCACATAAGGTGAAAAAATGGAAGGGACGGTCAAAGACATGCAAGCGTCACGATAAGTAGATGAATAGTCTCGCTTCCACTTCTCAAATCTCGCCTTCACCCTTGAAAGCTGAGAATATTCCTCAGATGCATCACTGAAGACCTTATCAGCACACTGAAGTATCTTGTCTCTAAATGCCTTATATGCTGAAGTCTCGCTGTCACTCTCATCAGTGCTTGATTCTCCTTCTATTTTGGGAGAAGATCCATCAATCTCCATGGCAGATGCACGTTTATTTGCAAATCGAGCTCGTCTTTTCTGCCGTGTTGCAGCCCTCCGTTCCGCTTCCATGCGCTTCTGCAAGTTTTCGTCCCTGCCCAATTCATCAAGCTTATATGGTTGGGCCTGCTCTCTTATAGAAGCAGAGGCAGCCAGCGCAGCACTTGTGGCAGCAGCTATTACTGAAGTACTGCTTCCTTGTTTTAGAACTGCCATTGCTGCTTTCACGGAGGCGCCTAGCTCTAACATTTCATCATTGTTATCTGCAATTCTCCTTTCTAGAATAGCTGACGCATGTTTTTCATTAAGGTCCTTCATCTGATCTTCAATTTCCTCGATGTAGGAACCCTTTTCCTGCGAAAGAAAATTCAAAACAGAAATTAGGAAAAATCCAACGGCAGTATTTTTCATATTATGTTAATTTGTATATTGATGGAAATGAAAACACCAGATGCATTTATGTTAGGGGTATACAGTGTTTTTCATCATAACAAAAATCGTTACCTTTCATTGAGATGGAATAAAACTACAAGTGTCAAAGAATACATACAACAAGAGTACCTAGGTAGTTACACAAATATATAGTTTGAGTTCATTTTCTTCTTTGTTTCGTTGGAGATTAAGATCAAACAGATAAATGCAACAAATCCTCTAATTTCAATTACATTATACTTTTCCTTGGAGTCATGATCCTATGCAGTCAAGTGAGATGAAAGGGAGAGACATCAAGAGATGCACTAAGAAAGCAGTATGCAATGGTATTTCAAAAGTAAAAACAGACAACGCTGCAACATATGCAGTATGTATACAACTACAGGCACATCATTATATCAGAGCGTACCTGCATGAAGTCGCAAATAACAGAAATGAAGTCTCTGAGTTTCTGCATGAAGACATACTTGTCTCCAGCTGCAGATAGAGAACTTTCAAGAGATGTGATACTCATCAACGAAGAAGTTAAATTATCATCTGTCTTGGCAAGCGAGGATAAGGTTTTTGCATGAGATTCCTGGCAATCAATTCAAAACAAATGCAGTTCATCAGAAACCAACTTCAACATAACACATAATCATATCAGTCTCATAACTAGTCAATATCAAAGAGACGCTAGGAAAATCTATGCGGTGAGCTATAACTTCACGTCAACTAACAATGAACAAGAACAACACTATAGGGTAATACTAACCAAATCCTAAAAGAAGGCAACATATTTCATAATTAAGAAGATGGCAAGTTCATAGAGCAATACCTTAAGCCTCTTAACATTGTCTTGCAATGCCTTCTTGGCAAGTTCGGCTTGTTGTGACATTGGTAACGTATCGACACTACTAGCTGGACCAATGGTAGGAGGCACTGAACTAGGTGGCACCCCTGCATGATAAGCATACATCTGCGGCTGCTGTTGTAGATGCAAAGGCACATTGCTACTTGCACTCCTATTAGTCCCTTCATCTATTCTTTTACCAATACCCTTCTTTAACTGCTCCTCCTCCCACAACTTCTCTTCCTCATCTTCATCCTCAGATAAACTACTTATCGTGGACTCATTAGCCGTAAAAACAGCTTTCCCATTACCTTTGTGCGGTAATGCATTAATAAAACCTCCTTGAAAATCAGTACCCTCATCGCTAACCACTTCAACAGCAGAACGATTCGTCGTACTACAATCCAACGATATGAAATCAAGCGCCGGTGTTGAACGTGGCTGCCTCATCTTCTCCCTCTTAGCTCTAGCTTCAATCGCCGCCTGTTCGTAAAACTTATCATCAGTCAGCTCCTCTTCCCCTTCCTCATCGAATTCCAAATCCGAAACCTGCCTAACAACATCCGTCACACTCTCCTTCTCCTTCTCCTGTTGAGGTTTGATTAAACCTTTAAGCACTACCTTCGGCTCAGTACCTACACTAGGTCGAGAAAACGGAAGCGTCCGTGTATTCCTCTGAAGCTCAAGCAACGCCTCTTTCGTATAAGCCCCGGCCTGGGGAAGCACGTTGGAAGAAGAAGAAGAGGAAGGACGTTGTTCCATAGTGGAAGAAGAGTTGAGTCTGTGAGAAGATCGCGAAGACGATTTGCTTCGGTCTCTGTTGTTTTTCTTAGGCTTTGAAGTCACACGGAGAGGTCCATCTTCTTCCCCCTCCTCGTCGTCGGCGAAACTGAGGAGCTTCTTCTTCGTGTCAGAGGCTGGGAGTTTTTTAGGTTTAGCTGAAGACGGTTTCGTCGCGGCGGTGGCAGGTTTACCGTCGATTTCCTCATCGCCGTCGTCCCCGCGCCGTCGGAAGTTACGAGGACGGTTACTTCCCATCCTCTCTAGAGAATTAGGGATTCGAAATTTCGAATAAGAGAGTGAATAATTAGATACCGCTAAATTGCTAATGCTTTGTAATTTTTTTTAAAAAAAAATACTAGGATCAAAATATGATCCAATTAACCGACTTAATTAAAAAATTTAAAATATACAACAACAAAAATAAAAAATAAATATATTTTCCTTGTAACAAATATTAATCTTTTTTTTGGTAACACTGTAATAAATATTATATATAGGGGGGAAAAAGTAAACCAATTTTTAACGAATTATATAAATCCAAACTATGTACAATGAAGCATAATGAAAAGTAAAAATAAAATAAATGCTGCAATTTGCATTTTTTTCAATTTTCACTTATGAGTTCATAATTAAAAACAGCTTTTTTGCCTCTTTCTTTTGTTTCCATGCCACAAAGGAAACAAATAAGAAAAGATTGATGAAGGAAGAAAACAACATAACTGTTAAGTTTAAAGGAAAAGGAGAATCATAATCAGTTCCCATTGCATCGGTGAAGCACACCATTGCTACTACTTGCTTGCACTTTCTTCTGTGGGTTTATCCTGTCAAGTCCCCATATCCTTATGGTGCCATCATCGCTTGCTGAAGCCAACATGTGAAGATTCGTTGGGCTCCAGCTCACGCAGTTAACGGCTCCTGCATGTCCTGGTAGCTCAAGGATTAACTTCCCTGTTGATCTGTGCCATATGTATACCTGCAAAATCACAAAACATATGTATATGTGAACCAATGTCACCAACTGAATAGAGATGCAACCATTCTTCTTATACAAACGCCATATGAGACTGATTCAGAGAGAACAGACCAGACTATCTGCACTTGATTTAGCTGTGTTTCTCTATGTGCTTATGTGATAAAAGAAAAGAGTGGGTATTTACCTGAGAATCCTCGCTTCCACTAGCAATAAAAGCTTGTTGATAACCACCAAAGCAAGATCTGATGAGGAATCGTGAACGCTTGTGGCCTTTGTATCTCATCACAAGCTTGGGGTCACTTTCGATATTCCAGAGATGGATCTCCTGGTTGATGAGATTTACCAGTAGATATTTGTTGTCATTTGAAAGCGAGAAGGATGTAATCATGTCTTCCTCTTCGATCAATCTCTCAACTGTCGCTTCCCTATCAAACAAGGATATCACGGAGCCTTTGCATACACTAACGAGCCACTTGCCATCATCCGTCATTGCTATCTCTGATACTTTTTGCGTCCTCTGACCTTTCCAGCATTCCATCTCTGTACCATCTAAATCCCACATGCAGATGCTTCTGTCTGTCATCCCGGCGATTATTCCCTGCCCATCAGAGTACCATCCGCAAGAAATGGGACCGATGCCGCCTTTTTCATATATGTGGATACAGTCTCCTGAATCAGTATCCCAGCGTCTGATTACTTCTTCTGCTCCACATGTAAGAACTTGATGATCATCAGGACTCCACAAGATTGAAGTCACGGGTTTCTGGTGGCCCACTAGTTTATGCTTCAATGAATAATGCCCATCTGCGCTGATCTGAAACGTAAACTCTAAGTGAATCAGCAACCAGGTTTCCTCAATTAAAATAGGTGACAAGTCATAACTTTTCAAAGGTCACCAAAACCCAATTCAGATGAGCCTTATTTGGTAAGTCAACATTACCTCCCATATAATTGCGGTCTGATCCTTGGAAGATGAAGCTAAATATTTTCCGTTATGCGAGAATTCCACGAACCAAACTTCATCAGTATGCGACTCCAAGATCTGAACCATTCACGAAGAGAGAACTTAACGAATGTGATTTATGTCATAAACGAACACATGCACTGTTAGTCTGTCTAAACTACAAACATAAAAAAATGAAGGACACCTAAGTAATTAGATAATCAAAGGAGAGGCATCAGATTGAGACATATTGAAACGTTTGCAGCACACTGTACTAAAACCATTCAGAGATACGCGACTCTCTCCAATAGTTTCGACAAACTAATGATCGCCAAGAGACGAAACAACCACAACATGATGAAAACAGAAGTAACATCAACAGACCAAAGCAGTCTCACCTGAATTGTCTGAGAAGGAATTTGGTGCTTCCCACATTGATGGTCAGCAAACAAAGACAAATCACTATCCAAAGTATTATGGTAAACACAAGAATCCCGCTGAATATGAAGAGAATTCTCAACTAAACACTCCAACCTCTTTTCCGGAATCATAACAGAAGCAGGAAGCAAGTTCTGCAGTTCCTCCAAAACCTTTGACCTTGAACTCACACTTTCTTTACCTTTACCTTTACCCGAAGCGCCATTTGATACAAATTTTGAAGGTGATATAAGGGAGGAAGCGAGCTCATGAACCCGCTTAGTATTAATCTGAAGAGGCACAATCTCATTTCTTAAAGTGCCTAACGCATCAGCAATCTTCTCAAACTTCAAAAGCTCTAAGAACTTCTGCTCTAGTAGCAAGAACGACGCGGACTTAACCGCCTTTTCATCTACCAACCCGATTCTACGCAATGTCACAACGCTCTCATCCCATTTCCCCTCCTTAACCTGCTGCAGAAACTCCTTAACGACGGATTGATGCATAGGGATTCCGGACTCTTCCTCCAGCATAGCTCCCGTTTTACCATACCCAAGTGAATAAAGAGCTCTAGTGATAATCCTAACGAATTCGGATTTTTTGATAACCCCTTTGGAGCCGACGGTTTCATCAACATCCCCTTGGGAGGTGAGAGGCCTTGCCATCAAGTCTCCCAAAGAGTTCGTCACCGTATTACTACCTATAACAGAAGAGTTGCCGTTGGGTTCTTCAGCACGGAGTTTAGCACGTTTCAAAGGAGGTTCAGTTTCCTCCACAACTCCCATGAAAATTCCTAGTTCAAGCCATATAAAGCTATTCTGCAGAGAGACAAAAGAAACATTTGAGTGAGTAAGCGCACGTTAGATCCATAGTGGTTAAAATGCTCCTTTTAAATAATGCAAGTTAGCAAACACTAGAACAGTACAAAAGGATTATACTTTGATCACAATCAGAGATCTAATAGATCAAATCCCAAATTGATCAAAACTATAAAATGATCGGAACAACCACCTCTTACGATTGCTTCATCGTTTGAATAGTGAAATCGAGATAACGCTCAAATCGATTTTAATTACAATGATCACTTGCGATAAACTACAGAATCAAACCACGAAAATCGAAACAGTTCGATCAGAAAATCACAAATAAGAAGTTCGATCAGCAATCATGAGCATCAAAAGTAAATTAAACAAGGGTGATGGAGATCAATTAACGATCTAATAAGGCGATCGAATCTCACCAAAACCCAGGAAGCAAGAGATAAGGTTTGGCGATGGCGGACGAAAGAGATAAGAGAGAAGTGAATAGCCCAGGGAAAACGGGATTAGATGCAGAAAAGCGGTGAGAATAGAGAGGAGAGAAAGAGATAGAGAGAAGCGTCTGAACAACAATAAGGAGGAAGAGAAAATATAAAAAAAAGGAAGAAGGAAGATGAATGAAGAAAGGAAGCGTGGCTGATCAGCGGCTGCTCTCTCTCCTCCCAACAAAGCCTTTTTTTGCAATTTTTTCCCCACTTTTTTTATATATTTTCACATATTGTTTTAACCTATACTTATGCGGAAAAACACGTTAAACAGTGATAATGTGCTTTAGTGAAGTGGTTCAAAATTTAAAGTTATTTATACATGAGTATCCTTTTTAATCGGAAAAATTGATAAGAAAACATAAACTTTCGAATTTAAGCAAGAAAAAACACGAATTCATAAACAAATCATTTTATATATCAAATATTGGTCAAACACGAAAAAATTACCTATTATCGTTGACCAAACCATTTTAGACATGTTGAAGGTCAAACCGTTAATTCCGTTAGTGAATAGTTAACGTTGACTTTTGGCGTGTCTAAAATGGTTTGGTCAACGAACGTATGAAATTTTATTGGTTCCAATTTAAAAGTTAAAGATTAAAATGACTTACCAAATTTTGAAAATTTTATAATTTCTTAAAAGATAATTTGTCAAATACAAATTATTTTTGATTTTGATAATATGCATGATAAGAGACTAATGCCTACTAGTTAGGATTTTGATAAATAAATTTACTTTTGATCTTATGTAATAGTCTCATCTTAATTTCTTCTATTAATGTTTAATGTTAAGTAAATTAAATAGAAGGTTATAAGTGATCAATCTAAAATAAATAAGACTATATTTACAAACACGTAATAGTTATTCTAAACATGTGATTATGCTTGTATTGTGATTGTTCTTAAGATAATCCATCTAATTAGTTAATTTTATCTCGTTGTGGCTAATTCACTAATTTTCCTTATAGCTATGTGTTCATCAATATCCTAGGAAGATCATTATGAAACTTTTAGCGTTGAAATCAAGGTTTACAATTTATGAAAATCATCCTCTTTCAAATTCTCATTTCTTCACTTATCAATTGACACACAAGTCGTAATTATTTTAGATTGATCAGTTATAACTTTCTAATCAGTTATTTTAACTTTAAACATTAATAGAAGAATTTAACATGCCCTTACTACATAAAATCAAAAGTGAATTTGTTTAAGATAATCCATCAAACTTTATATCTATTTATTTTGGATTGATCACTTATATATATAACCTTCTATTTAATTTATTTAACCTTAAACATTAGTAGAAGAATTTAACATGTCCCTACTACATAAAATCAAAAGTGAATTTTTTTAAGATAATCCATCAAACATTATATCTATTTATTTTGGTTTGATCACTTATAACCTTCTATTTAATTTATTTAACCTTAAACATTAAATAGAATAATTTAAGATGAGACGGCTACATAAGATAAAAATGAATTTATTTATCAAATTCATTGATATATATATGTAGTATATTTCAAATTATCAAAAAAGAAAAATATTTGACAAATTATTTTTAAAAATTTATAAATTTTATAAGTTTTGGTTAGCCATTTTAATCTTTAACTTTTATACTGGAACCAATAAAATCTCATACTTTCATTGACCAAACCATTTTAAACACGCCAAAAGTCAACGTTAACTATTCATTAACGGAGTTAACGATTTGACTTTCAACATGTATAAAATGGCTTGGTCAACGATAATAGGTGATTTTTTGTGTTTGAGCAAAAGTTGATGAATAAAATGGTTTGTTTGAGAATTCATGATTTTTTTGGTTTAAATTCGAAAATTCATGATTTTTTTGTCAATTTTCCCTTTTTTAATTAGAATACAACTCTATTTTTTCGGAACAAATTAAGACAATGATTAGTAGACTAAGGTTGTAAAAGGCCAAAGGGTGTCGAATTGGTGCATATTCGTTTACCAAAAAATAATCGGTGCATATTCATTTATTTTCATACTTAAAAACTCGTTTTCAGATCCTTTTAGCTAAACCAACAAAACGTTTATTTCGAAGAAATTATCCTGTGATTTTCATGAGAATTGTATTTGCTCCTTCAAACTAATAATTATGGATTAAGTACATTGGTGATGAAGATTTCATCTCCTACAAAGCAGTCTAAAAGCAATTCGGTTTTGTAATATCATTGGCATTGGATTCGAAGATTCATCTATCAAAATCTACAATTTTAAATTAGCGAAGTTTTACGTGGAATGGAATTATGTTGGTTGTTGGTTTGAGTGGTTAAAATCCTGAATATATAATAACGAGTTGCATGCTTTTTTTATTATGGGTGGGAAGGATCAAGGCGCATACGCGATGTTTCAGATGCCAAAATGCAGTTCCATTAAAATCAAATTCATATGTTGCTGATCACTGATATGCAAAATAGGCATTTACTATGCTCCAAAACTTGAATGGTTGAAAAGGATAATTAAATAGTTAAGGTAAGCGTACTATTTCTTCACAAAAATATCATATAACATCAAATATCCATCGAATTATCATCTCGTGCTATACCTCCCTGAATAATTAATTATAAAGTTATTTCTCCTCGAATCTATAGTTTGAAATCTATTTCTCTCCGAATTAATAGTTTGGAACTTAATTACACATAAACAATGGTTTAGTCGGTTTATTGTTAACCAAACAATTTTAAAACCAAACAAAAATTCAATTTTATTAAAAAAGAAGTTTTCAAAATATCTCAAATATGAAGTTTTCGAAGTTTCTTTGCTGGAAGTGATAATGTGGAGTTTGAATAGTCTATGATTATTTCTTTTTTAGATAACAATTGGAACATTGATTTGTTTAATTGATTTAAGTTATATGGTTAACAATAAACCAATAAATATTGTGGTATATGGGTAATTAAGTTTCGAACTATCGATTCAGAGAGAAATAAGTTAGTAACTTTCACTTGAGGGAGATATGACACGAAGACATAATTTAGTGGATATCTAATGATATATGATAGTTCTTATGGAGAAATAACTATTGATCTAAATAGTTATAACATATTTTAATAGTGTGTGTATATTGCAGCAAGCAATCTCGTCGGCATTTCAATTGAATTAGTTATTGTTAATGAAACAGTGGTTTAGACCAGCTGGTTCAATCACATCAGGTACATATACAGTGATAGCCAGTCAATCTCTGTGAGCACTGAAGATGGTATTATCAATGTCCTCACCGCCTCAAATCTCAGACTGAGATGTCGGATTAATACAACAGCTTACTTGCCTACGAATCCACGGTAACTATCTATTCTCTTTTTTTTTTTAAATTCGTTTATCTCTAAATATCAAATATTATTAGCTTTGTATAGACGTTTTGTCTTTTTGATTTAATACTACCTAAAAGCATCACAAAACTGACTTGTAATGCCTTCTTAGCAATGATATGATGGTTCTTTGGTGTATATACCATATAAATCTGATGACATGCACAACTTCTTTCTTTTTTAACTCTCAAAGACTCAGTAAAGTCCAAAGTACCAGGTAATGGGCTTGACCCACTACAATCAGGCCCATATTGGAGAGGTATTTATAGTTTTCTACGCAAGTGAAAAATATCTTCGTTCATTCTTGCTTGAGGTGTAACAAAACGAAATTAAAGAGAGAGATGAGAATGGGAGAAGTGGCTGCCCAGATTCCGACGAGTTTTGGTCACGAGCTCAGCGCTTGTCTTCAGCGCTTGTCTTCGATGCCGTCTCGTGAAAACCTACGATCAGGTATTATGGTTGGGTGCGAGAATTGTCCATTCTTCAAGATAGACGAAGATCCTGTGCGTATCGTCGATGTTACCACCTTAATTTCCAATCCTTAAATTTGAATTTACTGAGCACTGTTCATAGAAAGTTTGTGATATCAATGTAAAAGTGACATAAAGTTTTATGTTTTTAATAATGCTTTTAACTTCTTTCATGGCAAACCAATACAAGTTAACAGTGAGTGAGATAGGGATAAGTTTTGATTTGATGTCTTTGTCTCTATCTGTCTAACACCTCTGTTATGATTGTTTTTTGCAGAACAATCTCTATGATGGATCCACGCAGAAGTTAGGCTGCGAGGTGGTTAAGAATTGGTATGTTAAAAAGCAATTACACTTTGACTTGTTCTCTTTTGTCCAACCACTTCAAAGATTTATATACGATGAAAATCTCATTCAGCCAATCCTCGCTTTAGATTTTAACCTATTAACGTGTACACCCGTTTGAGTGGTGACTACATTGATAATTCTAGTTTTCTACGTGTCAATAGTGGGCTTGATGTTGTATTCTCGGAGTTGTGTTTGAGACGAAAATAATTCAAACACATTGCGATTCTTGTTTCCAGGTAAGTTTGCCCCTGGTTGCTACGCTCTTGCTGTCTCAGAGACTCTCTCAGAGGATATGCAGGTATAATATATTTTCTCAGGCGGTATATAATCAATCCTTAGTTCTGCTTTTTCAAATAATGCAATCGCTCATTCATGTCGATTGTTCGGTGGCAGTCACTGTCAAGAAGAGCGAGTGCAATACATTCCGCCCAAACGCATTTGAAGCCCTCTAACATCAATGTCGTCATGTCTCACATCTCTCCTGCAAGTAGTCGTCATCTTCAAGAAGCCAGAGTATGAGAATCCATGGAGGCTGCTGTTAATAGAGATAGTTTAATGGCTATGTTTTGTGGTTTTAAACTTATCTTAAGAATCGAGTTTTGCTTTGCCAACAAAAAGAACATTCTCTTGCAACTCATTTGATAAAACTCCGGAAAACAACAAAACTATAAAAGACAAACTGGATATATAAGAGAACCTGACCTTTACTCGCATTGATTTCATCATTGAAATTACAGTTTTGTATAGCCTAGCTCTGTTGTACAGCTAAGCCGCATTCGTTTCCTGCTCCCAGTCTCTGCATCCTCATCAAGTCCAGCTTCTTCTCCTTTTCGAATGTTATCTACATCATCTATATCATCCTGAACGTCATCATTGTCACCATCACGAACTTCATTCTCTTCATCATTTATATAAGCCCCAAAGTCATAATTGTCAACATCACCAACTTCATCATCTATATAATCCTCAAAGTCATAAATGTCCCAATCACAAACTTCATCGTCTATATAATGCTCAA